GTCTAAACACACTTTAAGTCCCTGAACAAAAACACAACAAAACCTGCAAAAAATATTGGAACTAAAGAGTCTAAAAACACCAAGAAACCTCTCTGAAGTGCCACAGTTTCAATCCCCTCCCAAGGTCTCTGCATCAACACATTTAATGATTTTACTGGAGAGATCTTTGGCAAGGCAGTTACAACATCTGTTCACTTATTCAGTTTGAGAAAGAGCTTCGGATACGTTTTGAAAATAAAATACAGTTCTGCAGATTCATCCATTTTTGGGGTCTTTTGATTAGAGGCTGTGACACGTACAGTAGAAGTGATGCTTAAACCAGCTTTGTTGCTATGAAGCTTTCACTCAGAGAGGACTTGCATACAGATGTTACTGTGATATAATTAGAACTGTGGAACCTATTGCTCTTGGTTTGTTGGTGTTGATGCATGTACATGTTTGTGTAACTATGTTTTTTGTGTTTATTTCTTCCTCTGCATTGTCCTGGAAGTCTCATCTGCAGTGATGTATTCAGTGTATTCACATGTACATTTTAACAAACGCTTGGATATTTATGAAAGTGATGGAGACTGACTCGAGTTTCAATCATGAGAAAGGATCTGGTTTGTTTTCTGATTAATCTCGGAGCTGTTTTTCTCTTCTGTATTAAAAAAAACTGGAATAAAATCCATTATTTCTCTATTAACATCTGTGAGGTTTATGTCGCTATGCAACAATGTCCTTTTTACTTTAGCTCAGTCTTTCCAAAAAGCTGTTTGCCGCTCTCGTAACCATTTCACAAGCACAAACACACCAAACAATTACAAGACAGAAACCCACACAGTCAGACTGTGGTTTAAAAGCACTTTATTGTTCATCAAGGCTACTTTAACGTACAAAAAAGGTGGCCTGCCAAAACCTTTTAAGTAGGAGACACAGAGCCACAAATCTTGATAGAAATTTTATTACAGTTCAGAGTATTACTACCATTAAGTACATGCTACTTCCACTTCAAAAAAAGACCTGGAAAATGTGGTGCAGTCCGAGTAAAGACCGACTCCTCTTTGATTTATTTGCTCGATTTTCATGTTAACTTGATTAAGAATGCAAAACGACTTCAACAGATGGAAACTGTGGTGACATATTTAGGAGTGACATCCCCAGAACTAATTTGCTTCTTAGATCATCTACGCCTCGCTGACTGGCACCAAAGCAGATGATCCGCAGCACAAATCTACAGTTCCATCAGTTCCAACAGCAAATTCAACAAATGCTGACTGATAGTTTTACTTCACTCATTTCCCATCTATAGATGAAAAAAGTCATGAAAAAAAAAATGCTATTGCTTACGTGCTGTTTGAAATTGTACCTGCCTGCTAGCCCGTGACTAATGGGGACTTTGCTTATATTTTTAAAATGAACTCTTTTGGAAATGGCAAGCAAGACAGAATGGGCTAGAGGCAAAATCTTCCAACAACACAAAACATGCAAATTGCTCAAAAGGCCCGCAAAACAAACTTTGTTTTGGCTTACTGGTAAGTCTTGTTCAAATGTCTCTGAAGTCACATGATCGAACACCATGGGGACCAATGGAAGTAGCGATTGTCACCGACACACCTGTGGCTTATTGTGGTTTCACACGTTTTCTGTGCTCCTGCACTTGAACCTTTACTCTAACAAGACAAACTCTATAAACAAAAAAGATCAACTTTTTCACAAAAAAAAAGAAAATGCAATGATTACAATATAAGGACAGGGAAAAAACAATTAAATAGCTACATATCATTAACAAATTCATTGTTCCTCAAAAAATACCTACGATTTTTTTTCTCTGTACATTCGTTACGCACAGCGTAATGATGGTCTTATAGTTTACCTATTATAAAAAAGTTTTTTTTTATTAAGTGATTTTCCTACAGTGCGTAGGGAGTGTGTGCCAAAGCATAAAGAGAGCCTACCTACAGGGTGGTAGTGAAATGATAACGAGAAAGAATAACAGAAAAACAAAATCCTCTGGACACCGAGTCCATTTCCCTCGTGTTCCGATGTTACTGACTGCATACAGGCTGACTGAATCTGAGAGGTGGGGGGAGAGGCAACGCTGAGTGGCAGGTGAACATGTCCTGGCTCACAGGTCGCGCTTACAAAAGCTCAGCTTCTGAAAGCTCAGCCTCCCGCCCCAACACTCTGCCTGCGAAAAACCACCAACCCAATCCACTCGAAACTGGTCACAGAAAGCACAAGTACATGACAGAACTCCAGTTAAATGTGAATCTCGGGTAACATTGTAGAACTTCCATCATCTAGTTCTAGGTTCTGATAGCTGAGACTGGAATGTGTAGACGCTTTCGAACACGGTACAGAACTCTAATGTACGTACTTGCCATTCTTGACACAAATTACACAAAGCCAACGAATCAAAACCTCACCACCTATCTGCCTTAGCTCAGAGACTTTAAGTCAATCTGTAGTTTTAATGCAGGGTGAGTAATGTTTTCACTGACTGCTAGTAAGACCCCAAGTTCTCTAAATCAGACCACTAAATGTCCTGAAAAATTAAAATTCAATTCTTCCTTTACTCTCTTTATCTTTTATTCTTCACTATGGCCAATTTATTTCTTAAAAAAGGCAAATGGGGCATCTTTTAATTCGGGCAAAGACACGAGAGATGTTGTTGGGAGGGGATGGGGACAAGTAGCCCTCACTACTTATTAGCTCCGCCTGTTGATATAAAGATAGCGAATGCATTGAGGCCTGTACAAAGTTGCCTACAGCAGGAATGTATGCCACCTTGGCGCAGGTTGCTTTGCAGAGTAAAATTCATTTCCTTAGACTGCAGCACTCTAGTTTGAGTTCAGAAAAGAAAGAGAGAAATATGTATTTATATATATATATTTATAAAAAAGGTCTAGACACCAAGTCGGAACACAAAAAGTCAGCTGATGGAGGTTGAGCGAGGTGAAACGTCACACCATAAATTCAGATAACTAATTATCAGCCAAGTGTTTTGTTCTCTAGCGTCTCTCTGCTAGGTCTGCCAATGCTATTTCCGTAATGTCGTCTTTTTAGTGCCGTAACTTTAAGACACTTTTATGCGTCAACAAGATGTTTGAGAGCCATCGCGAACCAACTCTTCTTGTAAACAAACCCTGCTTCCCAAAAGCATCCAATGCCTGCCAAGGTGACTTTAAGATGGCAGCTGAACAGGCTAGATGCTCAGATGCTTTTGGAGAAAACAAGACCCCGCTGACTTTTTGCTGTTTGTGTGGTGTCTCAGCTCAGTCAAGCTGACGTTTGTAGCATCCTGTACCACTGATGGATCAACATCTTAAGAAAACCTTAATGAGCTTTGGATCCCAAACCCAACTAAACCCCAAGACGATCGTCACTCTGCTGCGGGGATGAGCTGATCGCCTGCTGGGTTGAGATGATTTTAGGAAACGTTGCTCTCATCATTTAACAGAGCCTGTCCGGAGGCTGTCCCACTATAGATGTTTGTTACCATACTGCTAGTAATGGAAAACAACAAAACAAAAAAATACAAAATTGTAATAATAACAATAACAATATGGAGTACAACTGACCCAGCAGTGAGTGTATAGTGTCTATGTCTGTTACTGACAACGAAAGAAGTAACAACTAACGTCTGAATGAAAAGGCTAATAAAAGTTATGTTTGAAATGCTAAAAACACTAATAGATACCAGCTATTAAAAAACAAACAAAAAAACAAAACAACATGCATTAATTTACCCTTAAAACCTTGTAGAAATCTACCAAACCACAGTGTGTAGGAGAGGGAGGGAAGGACAGCAGGGTGTATGCCAAATATAATTACTACACCCACGATCAAAGAGACCAA